ACCGAAAGCACGGCAGAGAGAGACAATGGATAAAGCGAGCCAGCCGCCCAAGGTATAGCGTGATACGGAGCAAGAAGGAAGAGAAGCGGAAAGAGCTTGAGCAACAACGTTAGGGGGACGGGACGAATGGTGAGCGCCGCGCGCGGCCAGATTGGGGGAAAGGGAGAAAAACAGAGAGAGAGTGAGAGAGACTCGGGGAACGCATGGGACGACGGAGAGAATGAGATCGTGCCGTGGAATAGACGGAGAGAGAGAGAACGTGAACACGTTGACAAAGGACGACGAGTGCAGAGTGTTGGTGGGAGAGAGACGGATAAAAAACAAAGCGAGATGAATAGGGAGTGAAAGAGAGGGAGCTACAGGAAGGTAGGAGGTTGGCAGTACTGTGGAAAGGGGGGGAATATCCGAAGATCCGTTCCACGATCCCGTGTTCTGTCGCGCTCGCTTTAGCATGGCACTGCCACTCCCTGTCGGCCACATCAGCTTTTGCTATTAATAAATAATGCTCTGTGATCCGCATTACAACTAAAGGGACTTCGTTCCACTCTCAGGGTTTATTCTCGTTCTCGAAACCACGGATACATCGCAAATTCTCTCTGTCTCTTCCGTATCGCGTCCGGCGTCAACGATCTTTCTAGTGACGCTGAATGGAAAGTGCTGAAAGTTTGTTGGACCCGAAGTTCGTAATGTTTAGTCCGAGGAAACGTTGTGTTCTGTCGTTTGAATTTATAGACGTTTCGCAGGCCTTTTGATTCAGGACATTAAAAGCACCGACCCATTGAGCAGCGAATTCGACCGATTCACGGAAACGCTCAAAGGTGTTTCCGTGCAGAATTACAAGATTGTATACTTTGTAATATTCTAGATTTTCTTACCTGTATAAGTAAAAAGTATTTGTAATTTGAATGATTTTAAGAGTCTTGAGACAATTGTAAATTAAAATTGTAATGTTACTTGTGGATATTTAATAAATTGGGTGTGATACAGTTTACGTTGTATTTGGTGTATGTACCCAGTCAGCCAAACCTGCAAAGTCAAATTTTGTCCAATGCCTATTATGAAGTTATGGCTATAAGTTTGATGCAAGATTTGCTACAAACAACTTGCGCGCACTTATGGTACAATTTGGAGCTTTTATCTAAGTTCGTTTGCAAGAATGTATTCTAAGTTAAGAAGAGAAAATAAGTTTAATAATAAATGATGCTTTCGATGATTAAAAGAATATTTTCAAATAAAAAGCATAATAAGCTTAACGAACTGATATTCGATATTGCATTCTAATGATCGTCGAATTATGCGAAAAATCTCGACAATCTTATGAACTGTTTAGTAGAATCGAGACCTGAAAATTGTTACAGAGGTACACGTGAATAAAAACTTACCCCTGTCACCAAACTCACAATATCTTTTATTATTTGTAAAACGTTGATTCTCAATTCATTATGAACTTAAATCACAGGGGACATACAGATTGCACCAACCATCATCAGCTCGTGTGGTTAATTCAAGAAAATTATGGAATAACGTATACATAAAAGAAACAGTACACAGTACGACAGATAGAGGTTCCTTGTAAGTTCGCATTAGCCAAGTATAATTAGTTATCCGAGACTCTTTGTAATTAAAACGCTCCTAACGGTAGAATTGCGTGTAAATTGTATAGAATAACTTCTAGAAAAATGAATTTCAAAAGGATCGGGACTGTTTACTTGAAACACGTTTTCGGCACGAACAATATTGGTCTCTGTCTTTTTGCTTCTTACGATCAATTTTACGAGTTTTTGGGTACGATGTAGGCCGCGTTGAATTTTTCTATTTCTATAATTCAGTTTTCGTCGTTGATCGATAAAAAAAAATCTTGAATCGAATCTTCTCGAGCGACATATTGGTAAGACTTTAATCCCAAATATAATCGTACGCATATGTCACCAAATATTAATTATTTCATCAAAGTATTCTATACATGAAAATAACAATGAAAGATACAAATGCTATAATAGCATGAAATAAAATTTATCAAAATTATATTTCATAAACATTAATTTCTTTCAGTTTCACGGAGAATCGATAAAAAGGTTTTGTAAAATCAAAAGTTTCTCGAAAATCGATTCAATTCAAGCATTGAAAACGACAATGCAATCTACGGGAATAGTCATTATTGACTCCTTTAAGGTTCAAATCTTATTTTGTGGACGATATCAGTTGTTGAAACACAGATACATTAATTTACATGATCTCAGAGCAAAAAGGCCGTTTTCTAGTAACATATTTCAAGTATACCCCGATATTTTCGCATGTGGGCTGTACATTTTATCTATGTAAATATTCATCCTTATAAGAATCATACTTAGAGATAATCGCACGACCGTTTCATTTAATCATTATTTAAACGACTATTCAAATGCGGCACGCGTAATACGGTTTGTGTGCTTATTACATAATTAGAATGCAATCGTGATATTCAGATTAATTAGGGACATACGCTGTAAATTCATCGAAGCAGTGCTAGAAGTCAAGCGAGAGCCAATAATTGATTTCATGCGTTTTAAGACAGATCTTGTCAGAGGAATACTGCTTAAAAGTTTAAACATAATTGGCACCGTAAACTGATCAAGATATATATATATTTTTTTTTCAAATCGAATGAAATTAGAGACACTTAACATCAGTATGCAAAACATCCTTCTCAGTGAAGAAAGTAAACTATTTGCATAGTTAAGTACTTCATAAAGACATTAAACTTACCGAAATAATTTCAAAATGTTTACACACACGATAAGCAAATTTTATCGGTTTTATTTGCATGTTTTTAAAAATAAGTCAATTGTGAAATAATCTTTTCAAGGATGCACGAGAAAGATATTTCAACGGTCACATTAAGTGCCTAATAAATTTACTTAAAATATAAGCATAATTCGTATTGCAAGTAGAAATTAGACGTACAATTTTAGAATATTGTGGAAATAAGTCGTATCACGAGGTAGTTGAGATCTCATTGAACGCAATACTTTAAACCAGTGTTTCCCAAACTTGGGTATAAAATCTTGATACTTTCATGAGAAACTATTTGTACTTTGAATTTTAAATACACTTGCATGCAGCAAACATATCTTTGGTTTTTTTAAATGTTTCTTTTAGGAAATATAGTTATGATAATTCAGAAAGGAAAACTACGAATGTTTTGTACAACGACGACGTTAGTAATGATAAAAAAAAATTTGGGATTTACTGGCTTAAATGAACGTTTGTCGTATATAAAAAATTATGTCTTTAAAATTTTCTCATGTATGAGCGAAAGATGATTTTTGCGATGAATGATCTATAGTGTCTACATTTAAATTTCAATCTTTAAAATTTAACACACATTTAAGTATTCTCAACAAATATCAGCCCGCACGCAAATGCATCGTTGCTTTTCGATTCAGTTTCCTTCATACTATTTCGTCTTAGACTTATAAGTTGCTCACGAGAAGAATATCGAGAGCTGTATTTATACACGCCGTGAAATTTATCGTCTCTCGAAATGATAAGGTGCAGTTCAACTTGAAAATTTATTTATATGTTACATGTCTTCCATCGACGCTAATGATGATATTAATCATTATTTGCACCGTCCTCTGAATTACTTTGTTATCATACAACTAATTCCCAGAAAGAAAAAAAAAAGTGATGTTGCTTTGGAAGCAAGAATTCAATAACAATATAAGCAAATTTCTCGGTCTTCATCGTTAGAATTTTCTTTTTACTAAATTTATACATTACGTTTGCGTTTATACTTTAAATTTATACATTATGTATGTGTATATTTTAAATACAATATGCAATGGACCAATGACAGGATTGGTATCTTATTCATCTCCCATCTCATGAATCAAATCCATTCTTAACCATTTAATATAATAATTATCTTGTATCCTATTTTCAATAGAAGTCGATGTGCCTAATCATTTAAACGGCATACTTCTGTTGTCATTATGTTGTAAGCTTATGAAATATATGTACATCGTACATGGGTTCAGTGACTGTCGAAACAAGAAACGAAGTTTTGCAATTGTTCGTATTGCAACACAATAAGTGAGACACTACCAAATGAATAAGATACATTAGCCTTCAAGATTCCAAACGCTCGTAAATTTTTGTATTCATTTTCACAATTTCGATTACCTAATCTTTATTATGTACATACGTAGATAAAATCATGTAAGTGAGAAACTATTTTCTCATTAAGTTTGTGCATGTTCAACGGCCGATGCATAAAATAAGTGTACACATCTCCGGAGACAGAATTTTCAGTTATAAAAAGCATGTAACTTTAACCGATACAAACTGCCTTTGGGTTTTTTTCTCTCTCTCGAAAACCAAAAAGCACGTTCCTTCTTATGTTTTACGTAATATAACTTGTAAGGTATTTCACTGTATCGTAATAACGTAGAAAAAGAAATACATGTCTCGATACCTTCGTTCAATATACAATGTAATAAAATGACATTTCAATAAATCCCCTTTCTTAATATTGACGTAAATTTGTATACCCAATAATACATTTTGACACAATATAAACTATAAACTACATTAAAATATAAGAATTTAGATTTGGTGAAATGTAAATCATAATCATCTATCTCTCGGTAAATATACACTTTGTCCATAATCTTTGAAAAATAAAATAATACATAGATAAAGCATGTTTATACACTTTTAATCCAGACTTATCAGAGTAAATAAGTGCTGTTATTATCTTTTTTTTAAAGAAAATAATATAATATGTTTAAGTGGCTAAATTATAGTTTGACACCACCGTAATTAATCAACATGATTCTCTTGATTTTGTTTTTATAACAATGAATTATATTAGCGATTCATTGGTATGAATGATTCGAAAATAAACTATTATTAAAACTTTTATATTCTTTTTTAGACGTAAGATTTTTTTATATGAATCCACAGATTCAATAACAGGACAAGGATTTACAGTTGAGGGCACTTTTTTTCTCTGCCTGTCTTTAATATAGGCGCTGGACCATTCTGTATGCTATTTTTGAAACAGCAAGGATTCAGCGTAATGTACAGATATTGTACTTCTAAATCTACCGATCCATAACTTGGAGATCGATAATTCACGGATTGTTCTCATCCTTTGGTACTCTATCCCCTTTTCTGTTTTAATCTTTTCATAGAGTACGCGCAAGCCCCAGACATATATATTTGTACATAGCTATCATATCCAATGGAAAGTGTACATTTAAACTCAACTGAATCACGTACAGTTCACTCACAACATCAAAAATAGACTATTGCAAGAGTGCATTAGCATGTGACACCCTGTAGATAGTTATTACTCAACCAAGGTACCGTTCTCTCCATACATTCCGTGACTTTCTTCTCCTGTAGGGAATCTGAAACGTAGACGATATGTACAAATTTTGTATGATATCACAATATCACTCTTATAAGTCTCTGAGTCTTTTTTTTTCTTTCTTTCATTTAAATGCGATTTGCCGCACAGTTATATAAATTGTTGATCCCACATTGTTGGACTATAATATAATGCAGCACCTGATAGATATAAGAATCTTGAGATCATATATATTACATTACAAATTGATCGCAATTTTAAAGAGTGTACTACGTGTACATATTGCCTACGGTACAGACTCTGTTCTAGGTGTAACACAGGAAAAACATGTAAATTACGTTAATCTTATGCTCGACCACGTGGCTTTTTTCGAGAAGTTGTCTCCTCGGTCGACAAAACACCTGTGGTGGCCACCATGCGTTTTGGACGACCTGCTGCTTTATTACTTGGTTGTGTGTTCTGTGCAGATGCTGAAAATTAAAATACATAAAATCATTTCTATACAACTTTATATATAAAGAATAAAAATAACATAAAAATGAACAAAAAAAAAGATTCTTACCGCGTTGTTTTGTCCTTGGCACCACAATTGTGCTATTATTACTTTGTTGTTTTGTGCTTTTCTTATTTTCACTTTTTTTAACGTCGGTATTATTTTTTGTTGCATCCACAGATGAAACAGTATTGGTAACCGTGGTACTGGTGGTGGTTACACTAGTGTTAGCTGAAGTAGCAGTAGAAGCAACAGCAGCAACAGTTTCATTTCCAGACTTTGTATTTCTGTTTAGCGCTCTTTCTGCTCTACTGGATCCTTTTGCTACAGACTTAGCAATTGCTAATGTTTTGTTAACTGTTCGTTTCTTAGGGCGATTCGATTTAGGAGATTTTTTCCCTGATTCTTCTTCGGGTGCTTCATCTTCAGAAGAACTTTCAGTTCGTTTTGGTTTCTTACGCAAACTTTGCTTCTGTTTGTGTAAGTTGTGATTTTTTCTTCTTTTTAATTGTGATTCATCTTTATAAAGTGAAAGGTCAACTGTGGATAAGATATTGGAATTTGAAATTCATGATAATAACAATTAAGCGTGTACTAGTAAACTTTATATTAGCTTTGATCAAATATATTGAGAACCGATAATAGAGACTTGTATATGCAGACGAAATTTGTAACTAAATGTGCGTGAAACACATTTGCAGCAAATAATATACTAACGTCCATCTGGATGTTCCTCAGTTACTCGAGGTTTTTCAGATACTCCAGCCTCAACATCAATTGCTCTTTTCAAAATATTCTCTGTACGCAACAATTCTATCTTGGTTAGTTGAAATTTGTTTTTATCAACTTTATTTAAATTTAGATTTGTTAATATACAATCAAAGTCTGAAATTACAAAAAACAAAACACTGAATATGAATGCGCTTTATGTTACTTACTGTAGAATAAGAACTATACAGTATCATAACAATGAAACAAGTTCAAATTTCATACAAAATTACCTATAAAATCATAAAAATCTGGCGAATATATTTCTCCATTATTTTTGTCTTGAGAAAGCCAACGTATACGAATTCGTCTACTTGACTTATATATATTTTGCATTGCTTGACAGACATAAAAGCTTCCCTCTGCATTTCTCACAGCCAAAAATTCATTTCTAATAACAAATATCAATCAAAATTAATGAGTACGTGATACTTAAAAAACGTTAGTAATTTCTTTATATTTATATGAAAATCTAGCTAATCAAAAAATTTGTACTAATATTCATTATTACATTATGCTTTTTACATATTTACACAAAATGATTAATTCAATACAGATTTTTAAAGAAATGTATGAACTTTACTTACTTGTAGAATACTATAAGTTTGTCATCAGCCGCTTTTGAGGGTGGGGGTTTATTCAAATTTTTCACCAGTAATGCAATTTCTGGTAGTGGACTCTGGTAAGGCTGTGTTTGAATTCGATTTCTTTTTGGCTTACTTGCTCCATCCACAGCTGTTTGTGCTCCTTTCAAATCTTTCAATTCTCTAGATTTTCTTTTATTTGCTTTTGGCGAACCAGTGACTTTTGGTTCGACTTTTGGGGGATTGCTTGCTTGGGATGTTGCAGAATTATCTACTGCAATTTTTGTATTCTGAGTTGTGACTTTTGACTTTTGACTATCAGGTTTTGCTGGTGCATCTTCTGGTTTGTGTGTAGATAATTTTGTTTGTAAAGATGTATTAATGGGTATGCCATCAGACTCTTTTGAACCATTATTTACAGGAGCTTTCTTTTCTTCACCTTTGTTTTGTAGTTGTGGACACGATGCTGGAGTAAAATATATGTATGCAAAGATATAGAATCACTACAAGAGGATTATAAACTGAATTTTTTTTTGTTAATTATTAGCAGTATTTAAAAATATTATATTGAAACATATAATAGTAATTTTTTTCCATATACACCTATACCTCGCTTCACGGCCTAGATAGTTGGCCGTAAAGCGAAAAGCCGTATAACGAATCAATTATTTTGATACAAACCCATACAAATTCAATTGGGTCTGTTCCAATTTTTTATAAAATAATATAGTTTTTAGTTCATAAAGCATTTTATTCTTTTTATTTCCTATAAAAATGCATTTTTTTTGGCCGTATAACGAAACATTGTGGGCCGTAAATCGAAAAAGTGCCATAATTAAAAAAGACCGTTGTAGCGAAATGCCGTATAAAGAGCGTGCCGTATAGCGAGGTATAGATGTATTTATGTTCAAGATAAACAAAACACTGAAATAGTAACTACTAACCAAATCAAGTAAAATAAAAATTTCACATGAACATTATTAATACAGAACTAATTAAATATTTAAAGAAGCCAAAAAGTTATTATGGATTTACTAACCAGGACAATCTAAATCAATTGATGTCATTTCTTGCTCCGTTTGAATTTCTTTTTGTGAATCTTGCACAGGATTATCTGGACTTAAATTGTTATTTCTATTAGATTCACTTTGTTTTATAGCAGCAGACATAGTTTGTTCAGTTTCTGTTTTCATAATTTCTACTCCATTTGGAATCAATTTGTCTAAGTCCGATTCTTTTTCAGAATTGCCACTTGCATATGGTGGTGTCTGATATACAGAAGGTCTATGATCCTGCACTAAACTCAACGGTTGATTGGGTGGTTGCAATGTGACATAGCTTAACCCACTTCCGGGTAAAGGTTTCATAGCTCCTGGTTCAGAGCCGGATACAACCTTTTGTGCCATTGCATTCATCGGAAGAATAGAGTGACTTGTAGAAGTTGGTGATGTACCTACTCCAGGTATCGTTGATTTTAAGGCTGATGCACTCATTTTTCACTGACTAAATACGTCACCCTCTAAATGCTTGTAAAAATAATAAATCATAATCCATTAAATAAAACTGTATCATATAAATACAATACACATAAAAGACAATGTAAATATATCTAAATATCTCTTGTATAACTGTTGATCTAAGTTGCAATTAATTTCTGTATAGCCGCATGGTATCAGTATGCATTAATACATGTAAGATTAAAAGGAATCAACAAATTGTTGGAGCTATCTTAATGATAGGAAAATTACTTCGCCTTCTACAGTTTGGTTATTGGAGTCGGTGAAACAACAAACAGATAAAATAAACTCAATTAAAGGAATATTATAAAAGAGACAGAGATACTGAAAATTTGGAAAGGAAACATTGCATTAGATTGAAAAAAAAGAGAGGAAGAGTGCAAGGAAAAGTTGAGGCATTGAGGGAGGCTGAAGAGGGAGGGGGTAATTAGAGGAGTAAACATAAACACGAAGGAAACTCTTTATGATTCAGAATTTCGGAAACGCTTGGAGAGCCCACGTGATGTATTCGATGATAAACATCAATGTGTAATTACCTCAATGTTATCAAGTCCTGAATATGGATATATACTCTCTTACTAAACTTCCACGGATTGTTGACCACTGCGCGTTAACACACGGTTAACTCATTTTCCCACACACTTCCTTGACGCGTGAACGCTTTTTCTCAGCTAACATTTCATTCGGCATACGCACAGCATAGTCAATTTACCACAGTAGGAATGCCAGACGTTAGATGGCGTCGGTTCTTGGACGCCATGTGTGGCGCAAACTTGATTTCATATCTATTCTGATTGGTTCCGAAGTAATCGCTCGAAATTTTATTTGTGATAAGTTCTATGAAAATATAAAAATTATGCGCGAGAATTTTTACGTACTCGTGAATTTTTACTTTTCATGGTTTAACTTCTACGTATAATTTATTTCCGAAAATTCTCTGGGCTTACTGAAATGCTGCTTACTTTCAAATCATTGTAATACGAAGAAGATTTATCTAGAATTTGAGGCATTTATTGTGTTACTGAACACAAGCGACAATGCAACGAGTTTAAATATATTGCTGAAAGTCAATTACAATTTTGTAATGTAAATTTTAGTAAAAGTACATATTATTTCCTCATATGTAGTCCTACCTAAATATGTTACATAATTTATTCAATTATCTTCAAAACAATAGATTTTATAATAATAACTATATTTATGATTATAAAAGTAAAAGTTATACTGTTTGGAAAAACATGTGTGAAATATATATCGTTATTCTTTTTGTGTAAAGGTAAGAAGAAAAGTAATGGCAGCAAAACATAATTCATCTCATTATTCTTTCATTAAATGCAAACCTATTGCTTACGCGCCATTTTCTACTTGTACAATTGGAAATGGCCTTTAGATAGGTATAGTTTGAGGCACGTAGTGACGACGAAAAGTATAGATGAAAATACAATTCATCCCATTCAAATAACTCAAGAAGCACCAGCTAAAATAAGAGGTTTTTCTTACGCCGTGGTATTTAGTAGTACATAACGAAAAACAGAAAAATCGTTTTTAATTAATATTTAATTTTTTATACATGATAAATGAGGTCAAGAAAACCTGTGGCGACAGCTACGGCAAAACGTCTAAACCTCTACACAATTAGTGTTGCTGTTTTGCAACAAGATGGAATCACAGGTTTAAGTCGTCAGTGTTAAAAATCTGTCATAGAATTTGTAAATAAAAGGGAATAAATTTGTAATGGACGCACGAAGACGTGATAGAGAACAAATCGGGTTATGTGGTGTTGATAGAATTTGGGGTAAATCACCAACGCGAATTGAAGAGTAAGGAACTACAATGATTTCCTTTAACTTCCATGTTTTTGTATCTTAAAGTATTTTGATGCATGCTGACGTCAATAACTTTAAATATACGTTTTCAATTTTCAATTTTTGATATAGCTCTGATGAAGATGAGGACATCAACAAATATAAGGATAGCATTGTCCCGAAAGATAGGAAAAGGAAACACGAGATGAAGAAGAAGGTACATTAGTATATAGGTTTTCTTAGCTTGCTATATGTTGATTGTCAAAACTTTGTCTAACTGTTTACTTTTTTGTTTTCAGAAAAGTAAAAAATTAAAGAAGGAAAAGAAGTCCAAAAAGGATAAGAAGAAGAAACGTAAAAAGAAGAAAAAGAAGTCAGACAGCAGTTCTGATAGTGATTCAGAGGAACTTGAATGGGTTGAGAAAAATGAAAGTAATGATAAAGCAAAAGTTAAAAAGGGATCTAGCTCAGATGACAGTGGTGATGAAAGTATATTAGGACCAGTTCAAAAACCACATGTGACATTATCTGCCAAAGATTTTGGTAAAGCACTTTTGCCTGGAGAAGGTGCTGCTATGGCTGCTTATGTTGCAGAAGGCAAGCGTATACCTAGAAGAGGTGAAATTGGCTTGACATCAGATGAAATTGCTTCATATGAATCTGTGGGTTATGTTATGAGTGGTAGCAGGTAATGTATAATTTCATATTCTATTAAAATTCTGTAAAGAAAAACTTTAAAAAGTTGTCAATAATGGAAATATTACTGTTGTCTTTGTATAGACACCGGAGAATGGAAGCTGTCCGTATTCGTAAGGAGAACCAAATTTATTCTGCTGATGAAAAACGTGCATTGGCTATGTTCAGTAAAGAAGAAAGACAGAAACGAGAGAACCTTATTTTGGGACAATTTAGAGAAATGGTTAATCAGAAATTAGCTCAAGAGCAGAACAATAAATAAGACAGTTTTACACAGAAAGATAAGTGACTATTTACATCTTACTTGACACAGTGATAAAAGGAGACTCTATGCACATGATAAAATACTGTTTGTATACATAGAAGTGTATGTGTGCAAACACTTAAGTATATGTATATATGTTACATTAATAGACATAATCTAATATTATATAACTAATATTCTGGTTATACACTTTATTTTATATTTAATAAGAATTAAAGTCGTTTCAAATTGTTTTTATCGTCAACAACTAATAACTATTTATTAGCAAATATGTCTGAATCTATAAACAGTAATTTCCATATAGAAAAAATCTATACTTTTTGATTATTTTCCCAATCTAACCATCCTCCAACATAGTTATATGCCCTAAAACATGAATAGATATCCAATTAGACAGTACCTGGAATATATATACATATATTTGTAAATAATGTACTGAAACTCATTTATATTTAATATTGTTTAAATACTTTTGATATCCAAGTTTTTGTATCTCCTCTTGTACCATTGCACTTCTTTTACCAGATCTACAACTTAATATGATCTTTGTATCCTTTGAAGGTTTCTCTTTGTCAAATGTATTTCTAAAGTCCTTTGGAGACAAACTTGATAAAACATTAGAAACATTTCCCACTGTAATAATATATATTAATAACTATTTAAAACTTCATGTTAGAATAATATTTTCATGATTACAATATAAAAATATATATACTTGGTATATGAATACTTCCTGGTAATTTGCCAGTTTCATTAATTTCATTTTGTTCTCGGACATCAATAATTAATACATTGTTGTCCTTCTGCGCTTCTAAAATATCTTTATAATATACACTGAGGTCTTTTTTATCGCCTTCTGCCATGGGTTTAGAATTAGTTTTAAGAAATGTTGAAGTTGAAAGATACAAAATTGATTGATCTAAAAAGCGGTATAGTAAACATGTAAACTAATAATGGGTAGTATCTTTCAAAATACCGAATTTAATAGATAATTTATAGGTACAGGCACACTTAAAGAATATAATAGAATACGGAGATATTAGATAGTTAACAATATTTTGTAAATTACCGTGAACAGGGATTTCATCCGATGTATTTCTTAGCAATTTATCGTAAATAAGTGTTTTTTGTATAATACGAAAGTTGTAATGAAACGATCTGAAAGAAAAGTATGATCCGCAAAACGGAAGTGTTTTGCGATAAGTCATAATTAATTTGCAAGTTGTAATCATTCTTTTGGTCTGTACACAATGATGCTCAAACCAGTTCTATCTCCAAAGTGCTACTGGACATTTAAATACTGTATAGATGTGGAAGTGCTATAACTTAAGGTACGTTTTTATGTGACTGCTGCTTCACAGGTGTTATAATATTTATTACATTGTACCTTTTAAATCATTACACTGTTATCATATAATAGCATTTCCTGATGACATTAAAGATAAGATAACGGTATCACTTTTCTTCAAAGCAAGAGCAAGCAAGTGTAACGAACGTAACGATACTAAAACGTACCAATGAACGTGGCATAAAAATTTACGTTCGAAAACAACAATAAAGGAAATTGATATGTGTTCCTTTATATTACATATACTATTATTGCAAATGCGTGCACACTGCACGTTGACGAAACAAAAATCTATCACTAAAACAAAGCGTTTAAAATTATGTTTATGCATACATAAGTTCGAACGTACAATGAACTGGACATAAAGTTCTTACTCCGAAAATAAAATGTAAAAACCCTTATTCGGTGCGTATAAAAAGGAACAAATCTTTATACTGATTGTAACGCAGCCAAAAAAAAGGAAGTACAAAGATGACATTCTTTTTCGTATACGTCGCACCCTGATGAGGAATGCGGGAACTAGCGATTTTTATTTCTCGTGCGTGGAGCAGTAAAGTGTACTAATTTATTGAAATAATTACGACACTCATCCCGTTTTTGCACCTTCGCATACTGTGAGTAATTAGAGAACAATCTTGTATGGGCATCTGTTTACGATTTGATAGCGGAGCATGTGAAAATCTTTGCTGGCCACACGTCGAGGATATTCTTTTGTTTATTTATGCAGTCCTTCAAGTTCGGAAGGCTATAAAAAATATTAAGATCGCGTGGAAAAGCAGCGTTCTCGGGCGTTCGCGATATCCATACATTGACGAGTTGGGCTTGCGAGACCTCGAATATTTTTCCCGCTGCGATGTTACGCATCAATGAAAAATTCTATATCTCCGGATTATCAACATTCCAGAGTGTTGACACCTCTGTCAGAGTGCTCTGCTTTACCATTACTATAACATCACTGTCTCTTTCCCGACCTCACGACTACGCATAATTCCTTCTCGGTTTCTCTCGTTTTCGAATGCGCGTAGTGTCAAATAAGAGTTGCATGGATAGATTTACATTCCCAGTGGTTTTTAGTGTACGGAGATGTGAGTGTGATTGATCTGTGAGCAATTGTTCGCATTCTTTTCATTCGTCTTCTCTGCGAGTTCCGAGATGAAGTGCTTTTAGATACGAGCAGAGAACGAAGTCGGGGAAAACTCGAAACGGAGGTATTTGGAAAATTATTTTAGAGAGTGAACGTCAATGGGAATGCAGTTAAAATAATAGTTCAGATTCCAATCTGAAGGCTTAAGAAATGAGATAGAATATATGAAATAAGTACAAAGTGAAGTGATAATATTTTAAGACATTATTCAGCGTGTTAACATATTTTAAATATCTTAAATTTCTTAAGATGATAATATGTATACAGTAGTATAGTACAGAAGTATGGCAAATAATACATGATTACATAAAAAGTGCCTAAATTCGTAGTCAGATTTATTTGTGAATAATTTTTGTATGGAATATAATCCTTGAGAAAGAAATACCTAAAGATTCGTGTGTACTTTGTGAAATAAGTTTGCAGTTGCTCATTCTGTTTCAAGACACATTTCATACTCTAAATATTCATATTTCGGATTATGGGATACTTTAAAGATTATTTTAAGTGTTCTATTCAGCATACTGCATAGAATAAAATGTTTTTAATTTACTGTTTGACTATTCAGGTATTTTAGATATACATTTGTAACACTCTTTTTCTTGCATTTGACCGTGTGTTTACTGTTTACAATAGTATTTCAAATACTTTTAGTTCAGTCATTGTTTAGGTATAAACATGTTGAAACAAATAAATTTAAATGGATTGATTTATTAGTGTTACATATTACTACAGAGTTTTGGATTAATTTAAATATTATACTTTCAGATAAAATACAGAAGGCATAAATGAAAAAGTAGAAAAATGAGTTCTTTGCAACAAGGTAGCAGATTCTTGCCCTTTTCAAATAATAATATACAAAGGAAACAGTTATCAATGCAAGGTATAAGTTATTTTCAAATAGATGTTACTCTGTACTTTTAGCAATGATTATTTTTTTAAATATGCAGAAGTCAGAAAGAATGGTCAATTAATATTTTTTATAATATTTCTATTATATTCACTTATTAGGTGGTCTTCCACAAAGTTTAAGTGGCAGTGAAACAGATGTTTCAACATCAAATGAAAATTTAACTAACGAAGATCGATATGTAATAAGGCATACAGCTCGCCAAGAACCTCAAGGTCAAGAGAATCAGCAGCAAAGTCCATCCCGGTCTTCCAGTCATAAAGAAAACATACCAAATATACAAGTGAGTGTATTTCTATAAAAAAGGAAACAAATATATATGTATTCATTTTAATAATAATTTACTTTTACATTTGGAATACATTTTTTAACTTCGAAACTGTTATTGCAGTTTTTAAATAGTCTTTAGTCATTTTCATACATCATACTAGAATTTTTAGCACATCCTATTGTCTATGAAGTAGGTGTGGTTGTTTCCTAATGCCATGTCACCTATGTTGTTCTTATATACCACATTACAATCAGTATGATTAAGTTACATAAGTGTAAACTGCTTCATTGCAATCCAGGGTAACCTGCTCAATAGAAACAGTTTGAAGGACAGTTTGAATGGATCGAACAGAAACAGTTTGAAAGAGAATTTAAATGGTTCCAATCGAAATAGCCTTAAAGACAGCATCAACGGTTCTAATAGAAATAGTTTGAAGGATAACTTAAGTAATCGTACCAGTGTAGGCTCAAATAGGAGTAGTTTGGACGTTTCCACCAGTTCATACAACACACTGATCATACATAATGCTAACGATGACAATTCATGGGTACCATCTGGGAGGTAATATAAATTTTATTTTTTGCTTTAATAGAAAATTTGATTTCTATTACATCAGTAGTATAATTTGATTTCTATTATATGCGATCACAGTGCGTGTTAACGTACATTAAGTCTTGGTGTAAAGTTTTATCTGATATATATTAGTTACATTTGCACAGGTTATCAGGTGTGGTGAGAGAACATGGAGACATGGGTTACTTATACTGTGACGGTGGTGGAAAAGGACATTCTAACAGTCCTACTATGCAGTCCTTATCAAATTTATCTCATGAAGATCATATTTATGAGCAACCTACTAATGGAGGCTGTCAAGAAATTACGGACATACCAGATGATTATTTGAGTCAGTCACAGGTGATTATTTCATTAGTGCCATAATTTTAATTTATTGTTATAAGGCCAGTTGGATACAAGTAATATATTATATACCTTATTTCATACCAAGCAGGTTTTAAAACATCTCGCAAAAGAAGTAAAAGTACCATCATACAGTAAACTAGCAAACAATGGTGGAAACATGGACATGAGAATGAGAGATGGTGATAGAGGAAAACAAAATGACAGTGAATCTGAAGACAGACCACCACCTGCGTACATGTCTGTTTTGTTACCATTAAAGAACAAATCCAGGCTAGTTGGGCCAATGGAAAAATTGACATTATCAAGATCGCAACCCGATTTGTCAAGAATCGGGAAGCCAGATATTGATAACTATAATTTGCGAGCTACTTCTCCGCGGTAATTTTACTGATTCCATTAATAAGTTCGAATAATCCTTTATGTATGTTCGTAATGAACTATATGTTAACTCGTATATTATTTGTAGACCTCAAACAAAAGGGCGGGAGGAAACAGAATCAGCGGCTGGCGAAATTTGGCCTCCATCAGAAATGATTCAGATTGTAATCCAAGAAAACAGTGCCTTAAAATTAGAATTAGAACGATGTTACAACAAGGTCGCAAAATCTCAAAAGTTGGAACAAGAAATCGCGAAAGTACACAGAGCGCACGAGGAATTAGCAGCATCCTGCGAACGAAGAGAAAAGCTGGAACGAGCTGCTAGATTGAGGCTACAAAATGATTGTAGACGATTAACAGATTTAAACCGCACATTCAGAGATCAGATAGATTTACTGTCCGCACGCACCGATAGCCCGCCGATCGTGGAATCTATGAGAAAAGAATTAACACAACGTGAATTATTAATTGCACAATTGATTACACAAAGTATGTTTTCTTATATTGGATATTTGCATTTACGTGTAGAAATATGACTGTATACTTACTGTTTGATCAATTGTATCTCAAATTATGGATTTCCGTTTCAGACAAAGAATTAGCTGCAGCGAAAGAAAGGCAGGAAATTGAATTGGCAGCGCAACGAGCAACGTTACAGGAACAACGTACACACATAGATATTTTAGATACTGCGCTTACTAACGCACAAGGGAATGTCGTGCGTCTTGAGGAAGAGGTAAGCGATTTCAAGAAGATCACTGTATTTTCACGATTGTGAGGTTATAATAATATCCTTTTTATAGTGTCGAAAGAAACAAGTGTACGTAGAGAGAGTGGGTCAACTTCAACGAGCTCTGTCTTCTCTTCAAGCGTCCAGCGACAGAAGAGAAGAAACAGAAAGACAGTTGAGAGGTCAATTAGAACGAGAATTAAGGGAAGGCGGCGGTGGCGGTGCTAGTAGCCATGAACAATCCTTCAATGGGGAAACGATTGCAGAGTTGAAACGACGAATACGCGAGAGAGACGAAAAAATTATGTCACTGGAGGGTGACGTTGCGAAATGGGAACAACGTTATCTCGAGGAAAGTGCATTAAGGCAAGCCGCAATTGATGCGGCTAGTCTTCCAAAGTAAGTTTTTTTACTCAAATAGTAATTCTTGCACATTATACAAGTAAAGAATATGTTTATTAATATACGCGTATATAACGTTTGTTTTTATATAATTAGGGATGCTAAAATAGCTGCGTTAGAAAAAACGAGTCAAGATGCTGAGAAATTAATCGCGGAAGCACGGTCCGAAAAAATGAGACATATGGACGAAGTACATGCTGCACAAAAGAAATTGGCTGATCTTGAATCTAGGTATTGCATGTTCACAGTTTACAATTTCTTTTTGTCATGTTTGCATTATTATTTCATTTTATGTATAAAAACTAATTAGCAAACCTCTTTATTCTTACGATCCCCCTATTGTTTTACTCCTCGTATTTGTTCATCACATGTTTCCGGAGTTCTTCATTTTGCGATATGATTCTATCCTTTTGAAAATTTTGAAAATCTGGGGTTTTGTATAATTGATACAATGAATTTTACATTATTCAGAATGAAAGATCTAGAATCGAAATTAGCTGAAAGAGATGCAATGATAAGAGTCCTCCAAAAACACACGTATGATAAGGATAGCAGCAGCAGTAGCGGCGTTGGTAGCTATCCTGCTGCCCATTCGTCTCATTCGAGCACATCAGCAGATCATCATACAGCGCTAACCAGCACGCCGGAACTTGGTAAACACATTTTTATTGATAATTAAATTAATTTTCTAAACATTGTTACGTAAATGTTCCTTTATTGATTAATATAGCTTTTATATGGAATTATAAATTCTAATTGATAAAATTAAAAAAACTGCTTACTAAGTGATATAAGTTATTAACTATATAGTTACGTATGGAGTTAAGTACTAATCTCGAATTTTATATTCAAAAGTGAGTAGCGTATTGGGTGGAGGCAGTGGTTATGGAAGTACTGGTTCTTATGGTGTTACGGACAGCTATAAGTACAGGAAACAAGGCAGTTTCGAGCAAACAAATAAAAGTCTTGATGATCAGTTAAAAGAGCTTGACTCCCAGCTGCTTAGTAAGGTATGCACAATACAAGTAAATGTATAATTTTCGTGTCATTATCACCTTGTTCTTTGATGTAATCACTGTACGGGAAATAGTTGAAAGTAGTGAATATAACTTTATTTATTCACTGTTTCACAGTCATTTCGCAGTGCTTTAGTTTTCGTCTGTATCATCTGCGGACATTGTAATGTTTCTATTTTGCGACGATTGTATTTTAAATTGTTTAACATTTACTTCATAGCTACAGCTACAGGTTCAAAATATTACAGATTGTATGGTCAAAGGTATTGAAGTGTTATGTTTCAGTTAGTTGTGTATTTGAGAATAGTTAATGTGTGCCTTTTAATTACACGCGACGTAATTTAATTTCTAAGCAACTTTTCATTATTTAATAATCTAGTTCAATTTATTTATTACCTCGAATGAATTAAATATCTTTTACTAGTATTCAGATATTCTTAATGAATATAATGATTGATAATTGAAAATTTTTCAAAATAAAAGTATAACAGTTAATGAATAACTATAAATCATGTGTACATAGTCTCATACATGTGAACTATTCTCAATTTGTTTTAATGATTGCTATTATTCGCATAACAATGTGTGCTGCATTAATTCCATTGTTCTCATAAAATATTTTATATTTTTTTAATTTTATTTTATTAATGGGAAGTATACAAAGTAAGCTTTTTATTGTACACCGTGTCTTTCTTTAGTTTCTAACATTCCATTTAAGAGTAAACAATGAAGTTTTACATATTTCTTAAACGACAACAAACAAAATTTGATTAATAATAAAAAGTGACTTCTGTATAAGATTACAAAATTCTTTTTTGTAGGAAACATGTAAAAAAATGCATTCGCCATCCATGTTTATTCGCAAACTCAGTAAATTGTATTTTCACTAATATAACTTTTTGTGTGCCATTGATTTTTGCGTTTTACAATTAACTACATAAGAATCATATTTTGTAACATACTTTAGTTAACCCGAAAAAAGAATTGGCTTGCGTAATATTGAAATAGAATAATCTATAATTCGAGAACAGAGCCAAACAGAACATCCATTTACATTAATCTTTTTTATTATTTCCGTCTGCCTGATTCATACCAGAAGTTATGCCCATATATTAGGAAACGTCTTTATTTATAGTATTAAAATGAAATGAAAAAAATGAAAAAAAAAAAAAAAAAGATCGAGTCAAATCTTTTGTCGGCTTGTAGTCTAATCAAAGACACCAACGTTTACCTTCCTCTCTTAAACCGGACTAACCCACCGCATCCGAATCCCGAGTGATCCCAGAGTGTGCATGCGCTGTTGTGGCGAGCACTAACCTCATTCCAGGTCCCGGATCTCCTTCTCCAACGCAGGCGTTCTGTTGTCTTGTTTCAGAGGGCACTTTGCTGTTTTCCAGGATTCTCTAATCCAGGCACTGCGTCGCGAAAAGGAAAAATACCCAAGCCACTATTGGCGGGTGTAGATAGCACAGGTACCTCGAGTACAGCATCAAGCAAGAGTCGTCTGTTGGACGACTCGGGGGGCGAGGTCTCGCCGAGCATAATGGAATTCGCGAGTGCAGCCTCGAGGCTGAAGGGCACCGTTTCGAGATTATCGGACGGCAAGCCCGAGGACATGATGCTGTTGGAGAAACAAGGGAGAAGCTCGCAGCGGCAACGAATGCAGGAGGGCGAGCAACGTCGTGCCGGTAGTCTTCCACCTAGCTCGTTACCGCGGCCACCGAAGAGCTTGAAGTCGGCGAATTCCCGTTACTGTCGACTGAGTGACACAGAGACTCGCAAGAAGTCCGATCCAGGGCCTGCTCTGGACGCTACGGCGAGCATGAAGGTACGCGACGCGGCGAACAACTGCACCATCGAGTACGGTAGATTCGACACGAAGGCTCAGCGTAGAAAGAAATCGTCCGGCACGGAGCCGTTGGTACCGAACAGTACGCTGAAAAAACCATCCTCTTTGGCTGGTCACGAGTACGAGCGGCTGCAAGGCGAGAATCTTCGCAAGAAACAGCCCTCGTCCAGCACGGAGGTGAAGCACAGGGAAATGCAGAGCCGCTCGCTGATACCGCCACCGTCTCGTCGTATCGGGGAGTACGGTCGTCTCAGCGAAGGGACTTTGAGAAAGCAGACCGTTTCAAGAGGACAGAGTACCGGTAGCACAGTCAGCAGCAAAAGCGGAGGACGGGATTCGGGGGGCACCGCTAGCAGCGAGGCATCTACGTCCTCGCTGCCGCCGTCCAAGGCGAGATCAATACCGCGCCCCAGCAATTACCGGATTCAATTTTAATTCGCAAGAATCAGGACGGGTCTTACCGTTGGCTCTTCGACGAGATGACGATCCTTTGAACCAAAACGGAAGACGATGTTGGCTGAGAATAATTGGCTTTTCGTATTTTATCTTCCAGACGAGAAGGTGTACTATTTTAATGCGTTCCGTGCCGTGTCCGTTTCATAGGATTTTATGAAAGTTCATCCGTGGGTCATAGGTGACCCATAGTGTTGTACATTAGAAATATACTGATTTACGCATCAGTCGAGATGATATTATGAATTTGTAATAGAAAATCGTAAACGGTCTGTACAGAGAATCGAATGTGGGTCATTGGAGAGACCTGCATTACTAATTGTGTAGTGTAAACGTACTGTGTACATATTATTTAATGATATTATTAATTGACGAATGGCTTAAACGGCCGTGTAACTTAAATTAAATTATTAATTAATGATACTCGGAGTTACATCAGGAATATCATATTCGTAACAGTAAAAGTAAAAAAAAAAAAAAAAGAATCGTCGATCACGCGTATTGAAATTCCATTGTTGGTCACCGGTGATCCACGCGGCACGAAACGATGTAAGTCGTTTAATTTGTTTTTCGTAGAGTTCTGTTTTCACTTTAAACAAAAAAGAAAAAAAGATTCTGCTGGGAACCTTCGAGAAGAACGACAGAACTGAACGAGCTAGGAGTCCTAAAGCGAGCGTTAATCAGCGTGTAATTTTGGGAGACAGATTAGGAATCGATACTGATTTGCAAAATCAAAAGCGAGACCAGCTTTTTGAGCACCTTTTGCTTCGTTCTTCGGTAGTTCGACTGTATAGAGTCCTAAACGTACGTATACGCGTAAGCGATGATACGTAGACAGCCATAATAATGAAGCGCTAGTTCTCTTCGCTAACTGTTAAGAGAGTGAAGCCAATCGCACGATATAGCGAGGACGTTGGTATATTGTTGCGTAGCGATAGTGCATGACCTAGTCATTACCAAAGTAACTTCTATTATGAAATGGAATTGATTTCCTCTTATTTCGTATACACCGTGCCTACGTCTCAGAACACTGCGGCCTTATCAAATGTGTATTCACTGCGACAAGAAAAAAAAGATAAAAAAAAAAAGATGTGCCTTGTAAGACTGCGTAAATGCTCGGTATAACTATAGGATAAGGGAGTACGTTCAGGAACTTCCGAATTAGGGAGGACGAGTGTTCTTCGGCTATGCAAATGTATGGTCTTTGGAAGGTGTAGTCGGATCAAATTTTAAGGGCTGATCGAGGCTACAGAAGTGGCTCTATCCCTCTCCTCTTCGCGCAAGCATTAGGTATCAAAAAGCATTTTAGAGGTAAGAGTGTGTTAATTTTCTATACATTCAAGGAAAGTAACACATTCATCTTGACAAGGAGGAGAAAAAAAGCTTTCTTTTGTTCTATTAAACGCCCTAATTTCGATATTTACAGACACATGTTTAGGTTCGAAATATCGTATTTAATACTGGTCTTTCTGCTCCTTATAGCAACGAAGTACAATCTTGAAATGGTGCTGTGTATGTGGATATGTCCCCTCGCCAGCTACACCCCTTCATAATACATCTGGGAAGAGGGGAGGAGCTTATATAAGCTGTGGAACTTACGGTCCTTCTGTTACTCCAGCAGTAACCAACATAAGCTCCAATCCAAACGAAACACTTCTTTCATTCCACCATCCATAGATGGGATGTTGTGCTGTTTGTGTGGTGTCTCGTACAGTCAGAATGTGGAGTGGAGAGAAGTGAAAAAAAAAACTCGTATGGAGCTCTACTGTTGGACAGCATTCCTTCTCCACTTCCACGGTGATGCTTCGGTACATGTATTTGCTTTACACACACACAGTAGACTATGTGTTGAGGGGGACGATACGACAGAAGAAGTCTCACCTGTAGACAGAAACGCATCAGATTAATTAGCGCAGCGCTGTCCAGCAGAAGCTCTCCAGGGTTTAGGGGACTTCCTTCACTCTGCTGGCGTTGAATTCCCTACTCTGCCTCCATTACTTCTTATACTCTGCTACACACACAGGTACACTGTTGTGTGTGTGTGTGTGTGTGTGTGCATGTTCTATCCAAGTGTAATGCGGTATGGAGGGAGGGACAGAAAGCGTGTAAGGGGTCCCATTCGTGGGCATCGGTAACCTTCTATGTATACAAGGGTGATTCAGAAAAAGCGTAAAAAACTCTGCCAGATTATTCGGGAGGTCATTGTCATTGTAAAATCACAAGCTTCATATGAAGTGATGTTGATAATAACTACAGACGTACGAGGTGTGACAATGAAGTTCCGAGAATAATTCATTTAAAAACTTTATTTTGATGAGAAATTAAACAGATGTGTGGAATATGCGTGTGTACAGCCTCAAGGTGACTACTTCGAAGGCAATGGCCACACATGTTTAATTTTCAAAATACAATTTTTTAATGAATCATTCTTGCAACTTTATTGTCACACCTATGCGAATTGCATTACATTTTTCACGTCTTCACACGAACCCACTTCCACGATGACTGAAACTACTATTGACTATGTTCACCTTGCACATGCAACTGGGGGGGAGGGGCGGTGTCAGGCTACACAAAGGGGAGCATGGATGAGAAAATTCACCATGTAGATAAAGAATCTCAAATACCGAGTAAAAGATAAAAAAAAAAGATCTGTCATTTTTAACCGATTAAACGTGGAAATTCCAATTTCTACAATAAAATAACATTTCTTGTTGAATGATTAAACACTTGTAAAACAATAATTTAATCATTAAAAATCACGGTGACGATCTTAGATACGGCTACTTTTCATTATGTATTATTCGAATAAAATTGTGTCTAATTCAGGCGGGGGTGACGTAAGTGTTCACAACGTAACCACTTTGACGGATAACAAAGTTATTCTCGGAACTTTGTTGTCACTCTTCGTATACAAGATGTGATACATTCCTACAAATTTGAAACTATTACGAGTGTTTAAGTGTCGAGCAATCTATGTTTAGATTTGTTACGGAAAATAATTTCCCAAATTGGCTGTCCTATAGTGTCTTGCGCCCTAACGGGAGAGAAGGCCCCGTAAGTTCCGTCAGAAAAGGGAAACTGCGTCTGAAGTGTCCAGACTGGTGCAAGTGGCCTCGAGTAGCCAATTGAGTTTGCTCCGGCTACACGTTATTTTTCTCTTTCGGACTGTATTTACTCTTCCACCGAGGATATCATCGCATTTCTTTTTTTTTTCGTGCGTGCCTTAACGAAAGCATTTTGTACGGGGGAGTATCTTTGAGCTAGTTTCGTAGTTAGAAACGCCGCAAAGATACGAAAGCATATTAATGCGGTTTCGCTTTTACGGAGGGAAAAGCGGAACTTTTAATATTCGGAGAATATGGAATCGACGTCCGGTTGCGCAGCGAGGGATTTAAATAGTTTCTATATTTTCTGTAATCACAAGGTTTTGTCTTTTCGTGTGTATGTCTCGATCCGACGATTTGAGTGTCTTTTACGCAGCGAGAGAAATAAATCCGTAACGTAATTACGTTAATTTAAGACGAACGATAAACGCAGCGACGGTGAACCATATATAATTATTTAGAAATAATATATTTCGTAATGAAAGATATCGTTTTCTTCTTTTTTTTTTTTATTTTTTTTTATTTGAAAAGAAAAAGTACTTTTTGTCCCGCTTGAAGTTTCCGGCCGTTTTTATGGTAACCGGTTTTAAGCGAAAAGAAAATTCAATTGTTCAGGGCGATCATTTTCACGTGTTTCTTGCTTTCAGGACGTTTTTCGAAACGGTCACGTGTGCCTTCTGTATCGATTCTACAATGACAACGCGAGTTCAAGCTGCAGAGAAAGATCGAATGTGCCGGTTCGAGAATAAGAATCGAAGGTGTTCAAAAGTAGCGTGTAATGTTTTTTTTTTTTTTGTATATGACTGTTTTCTCGTCCGTTGCGTGAGAAGTTCCATAAAAGAAGAAGGTTATGAAAAGTGTTATTACACCATTCACGTTTGTCGCCTGCAACTTTTGTACGTTCAACATATTTCGAAATGCTTCCAAAACGTGACGCGTAGCGATCGTAGAGCGTTAAATCGCAACATTGTTTTTTAATTTTCGTCTCGTGATTAGTATAGGTATCTATAAGACTGAAAAAAAAATTAATACCGACGAAAATTTCTTCTCACGATTTGCTACCAGTGTGTTCTTCCACCCCTCCTCCCCTCTCCGTCAACCCCATTTCTTTCTCTATTTCCTCACTCCCTCTATGGGCGCGCGAGAAATTACAAGGTCGATTAGTTCAAGAAACTTTCATTGAGATCTGCTCGAGATTCGTAAACCTTCTTGCCATACATGCTGCGGGACAAAATGACGGCACATCTCAAATGATTATTTATTTAAACATTAATAAAACGAGTTCACAATCTTTTGTCAAGTGTCTTGTTATTAGGTGTAGAATGATCTAACAATGTCTTTTCTTTGTTTTCTTTTTTTTTTTTTTAAATTCGACAGGTTTTTTTTTATACGTATTATAGAGAAATTTACGCAAAATAGGTTCGTCGAAAAGGTAGCACGCTGTACAAAAAATATTGTTTAACTATATTAAATATGCGTTTACATAAATATTTAAAAAAAATATATTTACATCTTTTGTTTTCTTTCTCTATGTCAGCCTGTGTCGTATTCCAAGAATTGTAAGTTCTAATATCGTTGTTAGTTTCTTATTTCAATAGTGTCTCTACTCCTTTCTACATATAATTACCAAGATGCTGAAGCTGTTTATTATCGTTATTGGTTTACGATGAATATTATGTAAGTACACATGGTATATTTTTTTTACTTTAGTTGCAATTGAAATTTTACGCAGAATGAAAGAATATAAGATGCACTATTAAATATTTTATTTGACACTCAATTTTATTGAGATATACTCAAATTTTTATTCATTCATGTTTTTGCATTGAATAACACGCTAAACCTTGAAAACGTCTTAACTCGGTCTTCATTCATGAGGAAGTATGCTTCGAAACGTGCCTCGAATATAAAAAATTTCGGAATTCCCGATATTTTTATTCCGTGAAATATATTCAGAATCACGACCTAAGTATCGACTACTCCTGCGTTCGGGGTTTTCCAAAACCCTGGATCGAAACCTC